CCCAGCCCCTCGTCTCCGGTTAGTAGCCCCTTCCTCGCGCCGTCTTGGTGGCGCCGCCTGCTGTCGGGGCGGCGACGCACAGCCCCACAGCGCGGACCATCTCCTTGCTGCACCTCGGAGGGCAGCTGACCTCACCCGACCTCCCTAGCGAGCATCCCCGCGTTCCCTGGGTGCCCAAACGGGGTGGGAAGTGGGGGACCGGCAGGGATTAAGGTTGCTTTGCTCGCTCGATGAACCTGGAGCACGTGAGCGCGTGGACCTGGCCCAGGGACAGGTGCTGACTGCGACGCTGTTCACTCTTTCTGCAGCTCTTCAGCAGCGACGTGCTGGCTCTGCTAGAAACCTGGACGCCGCAGGAGTGGCCGCCAGCCTGAAGAGTCGAAGGGACATTGGATGACTGGCACCCTGTCTGAGCACAGAGACTTTTTTCCTTTTGCCTCCGCACCTTCGAAGCGAGTATTTCCTGGAAGAGGCACCAGCGATACCAACGTGGGCATTCCCCGGGTGGGAGCCTCATCTAGAACGTACCTTTTCTGCCCTCTTGGAAGGAGGGACCCATAGGGTAAACGCTCAAAAATGAAGCAGGAACAAGACTCTGCTTGGTGTATATTTATTTATTTGTGAATAAACCGTCTGTGCTGGTGTCATTTGGCATTTGTGTATCTGTCAGTCCCCGGTCCTGTCCCCTCACCCCGCCCCACCGCCTCCGCCGCCCCTCCACTAGGACCTCACACTGTAAGGCCCAGGCTGGCCCAAACTCATGCTGGGATTATAAACAGGAACCCACATATCTTGCTGGAAGTTCTGCTATGTGGCAGGAAAGCTAACGGGATTGTTGAGAGAGGGTTTGTCATCTTCAGCCTGGAAACACAGGCCCAGAGTCCTTTCTTCTACCCCTATCCTGGTCAACCTGTGTCTTGGTTACCTTTGCGTATGTTTAACAAAAGCGTAAAGGTAAGACTCAGACCCACGTAGGACCTGGGCATTGGAGGGCTCAGCCACGGGAGGATAGTATCTGTTCACTCTGGGCCGCTGGGCTGCAGCACTAGGGGCGCTGCCCCTCCCACGTGACTTGGAGACATCAATAACACTGGTAGGAGAGCTGAGTTGGTGTGATCATGGTTCCTTGGAGGCCTGGGCTAGGGTGAGGTGAAGGAAGGACTTTGTTGATTGCTGACCTGTGCTGATGCAATTCAGATCAGGAAGAAGCACCTAGAAGAGAGGCACCTGGAGTTCATTAAGAGAGAGACTGGCATTAACCAACCAGGGGATTGCAGAGAGCAGTCCTATGAGGGCTCTTGACTCATAGTCGCGGCTACCAAGGGCTCACTCTCAGGCGCAACAGCTCTCTCTCCCCCTCAACTGTCAGAAATTTGGGCCTTGGTATTTGTTTTTTTAAATAAGCATTTTATTGAGATAATATCCCCAAACTCCAGGTCCTCCTGCCCTCGCCTCACAGAAGTGCTGTGGTGACGAGCAGCAGCGTGTTTGTGTTAAAAAGCACAAGGCGAAGATTTTGGCATATTCATAAGAGTTGTGCAACTATTCTCACTAATTTTCGAGTAGTTTTATATGGATGCTGTGGTGTACCTTTGATCCCAGCACTCGGGAGGCAAAGACCCGGGGTTTTAGGATGGGGAATTAAAGATATTAGCAAGTCTTTTCACAGATAAGTGGAGCTCATTGCCAGCCCCCTTCCCCGCAGAGGGCCTCTCCTCCGAGGGGCCTGGGAGCAGCCCGCTGTTTATTAGCACTTGGGTGTGAATTTTCATTAACAGGTCCCTGCTAATGGTGGCTGGGACACAGGATTGTCGGTAGAAAAGGGTCACCTCCCACTGCTCCCAGGCCCCTTCCCCGCTTCCTGGCCCAATCAGCACCTGGAGCAGACTCCAAGTGTCAGTTCATCATGAAGACCACAGCCCAGGAGGGCAGCCCCGAGGCAGATGGTGGGGGAGCCTGTCGCCCTGGTTCGCAGCCAACCTAAGAGGTATCGCAATTACAGGCCCGTCTTACTGATGGTGGGCAGCTGTGAGGAAGGATGAGGTTCACAGGTCCTACAGATGCCAAGTGTCTGCTTTGGGATTGACTCTGTACTCAACTCCTTCGAGTTCTTTACAAGGTCTGGAGAGGTCCAGACTCATTCCAGGAAGCAGGGCACACACACATGGGTACCAACAAGGCTAGGGGTAGCCCATTCTGAATCCCGCTGGCTCCAGCTGCCTTTCTTCCAGTGAGGGAGCTGCTTTCTCCATCTAACCTAGTTAAGCGCACGGACTGCTTTTCCAGGGAAGCTCGGTTCTGTTCACAGTACCCACCCAGGAGTTCACAATTGTCTGTAATCTCAGTCACGGGCTGTAACTGGAGTCTGACGCCCTCTTCTGGCCTCCGCTGGTACCAGGCGCGATTTTGGTACAGTTAAAACAGCCATACGCACTAAGAATAAAAATTAGTGTTTAAGCCATTGTTTTCTGAGGACATAAGAAGGATGCCGTCTGAAGGCGGGGCCGAAGGAGGGGGGTGGCGGTAGACAGTGCCCTCATCAGCAGGTGATAGATGGTTCCTGAGCAGGCTCAAGAGTTTGGCTTAGCGTCAGGTAGAAGAGAAATGGGTTGATATCAGGGGTCCTCGCAGAGAATGAGAAAGTGACCACGCTTAGACAAGCGGCACATGGCTGAGATCACAGGTTTTCTGGCCTCGCATGGTGAATAGGGGCCTTCTACATGGGTAAGGGTGCAGCAAGCTTGTGAAACCCAGAGAACTGGAGAGCTAAGGGTTAGCTTCATCTCGCCACAATGCCATTTGTCCTGGGGGGGCAGGCCTTATGGCTTTATGTACACCTTCCCTCTGGTGCCCGTCACACTGGGCGGGGATGCTGTATTAAGTTTTGTGCCTAGGTGCTGTGTGCATCACCCTAGCGCTGCTCTCCTACAGATGTTCTTTGGGGCCTCTGTCATCCAGGGGAAGACCCTCTCTTGGGACCGCCGGCTTCCTCCTCAGCGGATGGCACACTGAGCCCTCCTAGCCTGGAGAGGGCTTGGCCAGGTCTTGCTGGTCCTTCTAGATGCCACACCTAAGTCCTTGGCATTTCCAGCTCCCTTTTCCCTTCTAGACACCGGAAGTAAGAGGGCCTGTGTCACTGGCAGACGTGACAGTGTAGTCGTAGCTGGCAGGACACTCTTCTCAGGATACCTTCCATTTACCTTATAGAGCTCTCTCTCCCCTGGGCAGATTGAAGTTTGGGGGACAGACCTCTATTGTCCCTCCAGGGATAAACATGCACCACAGACCCGTGTCACCTACATCATCATCTGACCACATTCAGGCACAGAAGAGGCAGGCTTGAGACTCAGCTAGAGCCACAGGAAAGGGACATGAGCCATGTGTGCTGTGCGCATCCTTTCCCAGGCCACTTTTGTGCACTGGGTGCCATGGATGTGGTTTGTACCTGGGTACTGTGTGTGTCCTGCGTGCTCACCCCAGGCGAGAGCTTAGCTGAAAGGGAATAGGGCTGAGAGAGATGCAGGGAAACTCCCATGCCAGGTCCACGCTCTTCCTGGGGCTCCAGAAGGGTCACTCCTAGCTGGCTGCTGCTCCAGTCAGCCAAGCCCCTTTGACTTTGACCGTGGAGGTGGGTGGCTGGCTTGCAGGAAAGGTGATTCGACTGTTGGGTTGGGGGTTGCTCCAACCTGTATAACCTGGGTCTGCGCTCTCCTCTGTATGTCAAGGGCAGGCGTAAGGGCTGGCGGATGAAGCACGCATGTCGCATGCCCCACGTGAAGCCTGGCTCTGAGCATTTGGGTCCTGTGCTGGGTTAAGACTGAAGTTCCAAGGCTTCCACCTCATCTCAAGGAAGCGCTGTTAGGGAAGAGAGGGGCGAGAGAGGGAGGAGGGAGGGAGGGGAGGAGAGAGGGAAGGGAGAGGAGGGAGGGAAGGAGGCCAGAGGGGAGGTAGTAAAAGGAGAGGGAGAGGGATGGTAAGAGAAGGAGAGGAGAAAGAGAGAGAAGAGTAGGAGAGGGAGGGAGGGGAAGGGGAAAGGAGAGGGGAGGAAGGCAGGGGCTGTGTACTGAATTCTCTTTCCTACTGAAAGAGAGGACGGAGTGTAGTGTTATCCGGGGACATTTGGGTGGTCGGTGTCAGTGCCAGCCAGGGCAAGGCCTGTGCCCCACGAGACGAGGTGAATGGGAGCACAACGAAGAAGCAGCACAGACCTGCAAGGTCGGTCAAGACCGGAGTGGTGGGGGGGGGGGGGATCCCCTGGCCTAGGGCCAGCCTGTGAGGTAGCCTCCTACAATTCTCAACATGACCACATGGTGTCCTCAGAGAAACACATTTCCCTGAGCAGCAGGGAGTGTGGCTTTCCAAAGGGAAGGGCGATTTCTGGAAAAAGAGACCCGAGCCTCTCTGTCCTCCTCTAGCGGTCCGGTCCATCTCCCACCAGGTCCCGACTCTCTGACCCCGCCTCCCATATCTGCGTGGTCTCCCTTCTACTCCCCTCCACTCTCCTGGCCCTCCTTCATTTTCCTTCTTCTGGGGCACCTCACCAGGGCCTTGGTCATGCTAAATATATACTTCCCCTACTGTGCTACACACCAGGCCCAGGCCGTCAAAGAGTCTGTGAAGAACTGCTTCGAGTGGGTAAGGGTGTGGAAAGAGAAGGGGCCACACGGTAGCTGGCAGGCCGGCTGTCTTACTTGAAGGAAGTGACTCCCCTAGTCCTATGGAACTAGCGGGCCTCACTAGACTTGGGGAATCCAAGAGCTGGGCTCTGCTGGGGTCAGGGCTAGATGGCAATGATGAGCCACACGCACAGCAGCTTCCAGTTTCTTTATTTGACCGATACATCTAACTCCACGAGGATTTAGTATTGGAGGGTTCTCAAAATCTGTTGGCCCCACTGGCTCCGAGGCTTGGAGTGTGGCTCTCTGTCACTGACTTTTTGCCTTGCAGGGTCATGGGGAGTGGCTGTCAAGGTGGAGGATCCTGCGGAGGTCCCAGAGTGGTCACTTCTTTAAGTTTTCTTTCTGGAGAATAACGGAGTACCTCCGCAGCCGTGCCCACTGATCACTCCCTTTCATCTGGGTCTTCACCAGCTTTTGGAAGCTGAGGGCCACACAACCATCAATGAGAGCTGTCACCCCAGCCACCCAGTCCCCTGGTCCCTGGCTGACCCTGAGCATTCAGGTGGGGAACTCTGAAAGATGACACACTGGCTTCATCTCTGTCCCTTCAGCCTGACAGACCTTTCCTGAGAATGGCAGGCCCGTTGCTCTATGGAGCAGGCCCAAGGAAGATGGGTGCCTAGAAGCCCAATACCCAAAGGAATCGTTCAGCCTTCTGAAGGGAAGCGATCGTACTGCTACAGCACCATTCCTAAAGCAGATTGTGGCTCACACCTGCAGAGGTCTGTGGTCAGCTTTTAAAAATGAGAATTCAGCCGGGCCAGTGGTGTCCCACCCATGCCTTTAATCCCAGCACTTCGGAGGCAGAGGCAGGCAGTTAGAGGCCAGCCTGGTCTATAGAGCAAGTTCCGAGACTGGCTCGAAGGAAAAAAAGAAGAAAGAAAACAAGCCAAACAAAGGGGAGAGGGCATTCAGGGGCTGGGGGGTGGGATTCAGGGGCTGGAGGAGGGATTCGGGGGCTGGAGAGACTTCTGGTTCTGTTCCTGTAGTCTGTGTGGGAAAGACTCTCAGTTCAGACTTTGGTCCTGCTGATTGGCCTCTGGGTCTCTATCCCCAACATATAGGTGTTTTGTTGCCTGCATGTCTGGGACCAGTGGAGGCCAGAAGAAGGTATCAAATCTCTGGTACTCCAGGATGGTTGTGAGCTGCTATGTAAGTGATGGGGATAGAATCTCGGTCCTCTGGAAGAGCAGAATCTCTCACTGGCCTAGCACTCACAGAGTGGGATAGGTTGGTTCATGTGGTAAAAACCCTTCAGTTAGCAGTAATTAAATATGGAAAAGTTCTTAACCACAAACCATATTCAGTGACGGCTCACCAGACACCACCTCGTGGCTAGGTGGGGTCTCATCAGACACCACCCCACAATTGGGCGGGGTCTCACCAGACACAACCCCACAGTTGGGCGGTGGGGGGATGGGGGGCGGGGGATCTTACCTCTTCTGGAGATTCTGCTCACATCTTTTCTCCAGGGGCAACACCTGGGGGAAGGCCTGGTTACATTCCAAGTCCTTTTGGGAAATGGTACAATTTTTGGAGATATCTTCCAGGAGGGAATACTCCTCAAAATTGAAACAGAAAATAGAATCTGGGGTGTCCTTGACACCATCAGTATGTGTGGTGTTACCATCCAGGTGGGCTCCTGTGAGGAGAGGAGACCATTGTGTTCAGTGTAATTGTCTCTCCATGGGTGTAGGGTCTTCAGGATGTGGGGCTGTTCTCGCTGGCTTACCTGGCTTGTTTTGGGAGGGAATTACTTAATCATGCAGACCTTGCCAGCATTTTATCAAAGAACATTGTGGGAACCAGGCTGAAGTCTCTTTTGGCCTGGGACAGAGGGGGCTGAGGAGGCAATTGAGAACCGCTGCCAAGCTTTTGTGAGCGGTCAGGAAAGGTCAGGGAAGAGTATAGTAGGCCCCAGCACTGAGTGGCTGTCCTCAGATTCCCTTCCATACCATGAAGCAGAAAATAGGGACGGTGTGGAGACACAATGAAGAGCGGCTTCCAGGGCATCGCCTGGTGGTGGTGTATGGGGGCCGCAAAGGCACAGATGACTTCAGCCTTGGTCACGTCCATGAGACTTATAGAGTGGTTCTTGGAATAGATGAGCACCTAGGGAAGAAAGAGAAAGAACTCTCAGAGTTGGCTCTCACAGAAAGGCAGAGGGTAGAGGCCACATTGGGACCCTCTTCCTACCTCCTGGCATCTGCCCACTTCAGACATAAGTTGCCACAAGGAAAAATCTGGTTCTCAGTCCAGGGTGCTGCCCTCATTCCCTCCCTGCTGGCCCTGGGCTTTCAGGGGCCCTTCCTGCATGCCCTTGGGGTCCCTCTCTGACACTTATGAACTCACTCTCCTGGTCTTGCCTGTCGGGTCCGCTCATCTCCTGGGGACTATAGGGACCCAACAGGACACTAGTTTTGACAGTGATTACTAACTCCTGGTGGGCACAGAGCGGATATTTGTAAACTCATGTTCCAAGAGCCAACCTGGGCCCTGCAGAGCCTCACCCACTGCCACACCATACCAGAAGTCACAGCCGTTCTCACTAACCTCTGTCTCTGACCCTGACACGATTAGGGAGTCAGCAGAATGTGGCAGGACCAGCCAGCATGCCCATTCTCCAGTACACCCAGAGGCAGGTCAGCACGTGGTTCTAGTCCCTCTTAGAAGACGATGCTCCCTGTTTCCACCTCTCAGTGCTGTGGGTCTTATTGATGGGAGGGATGCCTGCATCCTCTGCCAGCACACAAAGGCTGGTCCTTCCGCCCCATCCCCGCCCTCTTCCTCCTTCATACCTACTGACCTGAATGTTGGTTAGTACCTTTTGATACTGTCTCACTCAGCTTCTCTGGCTCTGCTGTCCCCTCCTGTCACACTCCCCTCCCCTCTGCAACTTCTACATCAGGTGGTCCCTCCTCTGTTACATTACAAATTAGGTCTGAGGCAGCTGTTTGGTGCTGCGTGTCCTGATGAAGTGTGAGCGCCGTCAGGGTGAGGACATTCTCTTTGGTGTGTTAGTATTTACTTGGTGATTGGGATTGAATCTGGAGCCTGCTAACATTTACTCTGCTGCTGATCACTACCCCCACCCAGCCTTGGGGTTTCTCTTCCATATCCATATCCATTTACATATCCAAAGCAAATCCAATGCCTAGCATGCAGTAGGCTGGCAGCAACTGTTTCTGGAAGGGATGATGAACACACTTACAGAAGATGACCAAGGACCTACCATGCCAGGTAAGGCTGGGACCGGGGCCACTGTACAAATGGCTTCTTCCAGGTGCTTTGTGGGCCTATGGGGCACAAAAAGGGCATTCATTCCCCTTCTGTAAAGGTTTGAAGCTTTTATTATCTTCTCCTAGGTATTATTTCCATTTTGTGTATGAGTGCTCTACATACACGCCCACATACCAGAAGAGGACATTTGATCCTATTACAGATGGCTGTGAGCCACCACGTGATTGGTGGGAATGGAACTCAGAACCTCTGGAAAAGCAGCCAGTGCACTTAACCACTGAGCCATCTCTCCAGTCTCTAGAGAAACAGTTAATGTATACCAGTAGATATATGAAGGGATCATTCATAGTAGCAAATGAAACAAACAAATAAAAAACAGAACCAGGAACAGTGTAGATACTCTGATGGAGGAAGGCCATTGGCTAATAAAGGAACTGCCTTGGCCCATTTTATTGGTTAGAAGATAGGTGGGAGGAGTAAACAGAACAGAACGCTGGGAGGAAGAGGAAGTGAGGTCAGTCTCGACAGCTCTCCTCTTGGGAGCAGACGCCTGAGAGAGATGCCATGCCCCGCTCCCGGGATGAAGCTCTGACCCAGGATGGACATAGGCTAGAATCTTCCCGGTAAGACCGGTTCTCACAGATTATTAGAGATGGGTTGATCGGGATGTGAGAATTAGCCTGCAAGTGCTAGAGCTAAAGGGCCAAGCAGTGTTTAAAAGAATACGGTGTCTGTGTAATTATTTTGGGTAAAGCTAGCCGTAGGGGCGGCCGGGTGCTGGGGATGCAGCCCCGCCGCCCCTATTACTACAGATTGGCGCCCAGACGTGTGGACAACTAAACCCATTTAAAAAACCTGAGAAGGCTTAAAAATAAGGGAGAGAGAGTTTAACACAGATTTTTGCTATTTGTTGGTGGCGTGCTGTAGAGAGATTTCCTGATTCGGCAACAGTAGCAGAAAAAATGCTGTGTCATTTTAAAGCGCGACTTCCTGGGGCTGTGCCGCCATTGCGATCTCTGTCTGGCTCCTGCGGGAGACAGAGCTTTTGAATAGAACATTTGGAGTAAAGTGCTACGATTTGTTTGATGGCAACTAGACTCGCTGTGTTCTCGGGTCTGCTCTGCTTGTTAGAGGCAAGCATGCGCTTTCTTCTAAGAGAAGCTTCCTGACTCAGCTTTAGCTGCAAAGCCTGCAGCTCATTAAGAGGTCCTGCCACGAAACACTTAAACGGTGTTGACAAAAAGCTGAACGCATGCTTTTCGGTTTTCAGCCATAGCAGGAAAAAAGCTGCGCCGTTTAAAAATGCCGGCTTTCTGGGCCATCCTGCCAGGGCAAATTCTGACTGTTTGAGGCAGGAGAGCCGGCTACCGAGAGAGGACTTGAGTGTTGTCTGTTGTAGCTCACTTGCTGGCAGGGACCTTGAAATGCCATACAGTTGTTGCAGTAAACATGGCTACAGCCTGTATATCCGCCATGAGGCTGGAAAGCTAAGGAATGGACTGGATCTAGCTGGCAAAGCCACGCCTTTAGTCCTACTGAGATTGCTTGGTAAATTAAAGGCTCTTGTGGTCAGAAAAAGAGAGATATACAGTAAAGAGAGATTCAAAGACAAACAAAATTTCTAAATGGTTTACTGTGTGTTAAAAATATAGGCAGACTAAAAGTTGAAGTTCTTAAAGTAAAAAACAAAAAAAGGAAGAGAGTTGTTGTGTGTGGTAGCACATGCCTTTAATCCCAGTGCCTAGAAGGCAGAGGCAAACAGATCTCTGTGAGTTCAAGGTGTAGTAGCTTACACCTTTAATCCCAATGCCTGGGAGGCAGAGACAGGCGGATCTCTGAGAGTTCAAAGACAGCCTGGTCTACAGAGTTACTTCAGGTCAAAGATACAGAGAACCTGTCTCAAAAAGCAAAGAGTTAAAAGTAAAAATAAACAAAATAGAGGTTAAAATAAAACGAACAAAGATGGAAAATACACAGAGAATCTTGATACTGTATGCTATTATGCTCTCTTTGAATTATTTGAATGCTGAGGAAGGAGCAACAGCTGCTAAAAGATATTTATTTATAAATGCTGCTGAACTAATCCAACATAGATATTTTGAATTTGGATCTAAGGATATGATACTTTGGAAAAGAGTTTCTTATTTTGTTTTCACAGAGGATGAGACGCTGTTCATTTCTTCTATTCCGATTTGGTATGATGGACCATGCCCTCCTGAAGGGTTGGTGTGAATGCCTTCAGAAAATTGCTTCGCTCAACTGCCAACTGAGATGAAACTAGCACACAGGTTTTACCATGAAAGACCTAATTAACAACGCCCCCATTCAGCAGGAAGCAGTTTGGAGAGAAAAAACTGCGCCCATGTTCCCAAATATGGTTTATAAACGTTCTTTTACATTTAAAGGGGGATATGATAGAGATATGAATAATTTACATTGATATGGATTTTGTTTTAGTGATTTAAATTTAAGGTCAATTTTGTTATATGTATATGTATTTCTGATCTTTATTAAGGTATTGTGATTGTGTAGTTCATTTAAATATGTACTGTATAATTAAGAAATATAGGTTGTTAATGGATAATCATCGATAATAGTAAAGCTTGTAGTCATGTTAGTTAGATTTTCTAGAAATATAGAGATATATTTTAGATAGACATTCTTCATGTCTTTCAAAGATTACAGTATAGGACATTTAATGTTTTAATAACTGAGGACTTTTCATGACAATGAGACACTCTGCTCCTGGCAGCACCAATCTACTTCAAGAGGAAGATGGGCATCGAAGAGGCACCTTATGGAGTTTGATAGCCATTTGGGCAAGAAACTGCTCTTGCCTGGACTATTGCATAAACTGGACACAGAGAGAGGACTACTGAACTTGCCTAAGGTGAGATGATCTTTCGGGGTTCCTGATTCATGAAAGAGTCTGCGAGACATTCTGCAGGACACAACAGATAGTGTGACTTTGAATTTTCCTACTTTATGGAAATGTCTGCTGGATACCATGGGCCTGAAGGCTGAAGATGGATGCCCCAATGATACAGAGGAACTTTGGGTGACTGTCCAGGCAGCGAGATGTCTCTGTCATTTCTAGAGTTTTAAAAGTTGCTTTTTTCTTGTTTGCTTAGGTAGTAGTGTATCTTTCTGGAGTCTTTGATGGAGTTAAGAATAGTTAGTTATAGTTATAGTTTTCCTTAGTTATGATAAAGATTATTGTAACTTTTACTTGATAACTGTTTTGTTATATGTAATTTTGCTATGTTAAAGTTAAAGCCTTTTTTTTTTTTTGTTTAAACCGAAAAAGGGGAAATGATGGAGGAAGGTCATTGGCTAATAAAGGAACTGCCTTGGCCCATTTTATTAGTTAGAAGATAGGTGGGAGGAGTAAACAGAACAGAACGCTGGGAGGAAGAGGAAGTGAGGTCAGTCTCGACAGCTCTTCTCTCGGGAGCAGACGCCTGAGAGAGATGCCATGCCCCGCTCCCGGGATGAAGCTCCGACCCAGGATGGACATAGGCTAGAATCTTCCTGGTAAGCGCACCTTGGGGTGCCATACACAGATGATTAGAAATGGGCTAAATTAATATGTGAGAATTAGCCTAGAAGAGAATGGGCCAAGCAGTGTTTAAATGAATACAGTTTGTGTGTTGTTATTTCGGGCATAAGCTAGCCGTGCAGGTGGCTGGGGTGCTGGGGATGCATCCCCGCCGCCCTTATTACTACAATACTCACCAGCAGGAGGCTGCTTAAGCAGCAGAAGATAACACAATGGAAACTGAACTGGATGGAGGTACATACATGTGCCCACATGTATAGCTTTCATGGTCAATGTGATAAAGCAAGTCAGAATAAACAGAATAGATAGAAAGCAAATTGAAGGCTCATAGAATATGATTCCACTCATAATTTCCTAAATACACACAACTTAATGCATTGTTTAGAGGCAAAATAATACAAAGATGGTAAATCCTTAAACCAAAGGAATGATAAGTAAAGGAAAAAAAGGTTTGATGGTGCACACCTTTAATCCCAGCACTCAGGAGGCAGAGGGAGGTGGATCTCTGTTTGAGGCCAGCTGGTCTACGATGTGAGTTCCAGGACAGCCAGGAGTGTTACACAGAGAAACACTGTAAAAAAAAAAAAAAAGAAGAAGGAAGGGAGAAAGAAAGAATAGGAAAATTATGTGGAAATTGGGAAAAATCCAACCCAAATATTTAGCAGTAACTCTCCTAAAAACTGGGGCTGTAGAGCTGGGTCAGTGATTAAACACACTTGGTTTTCCAGAGGACTTGGGTTGGGTTCTCAACACCCATGTGCTAGCTAACAACAGCACATCGCTCCAGTTCCAGGGCATCTGAAACCCTTTCCTGTCCTCTGCAGGTGCTAACATGCACACAGTGCACAAACATACATGCAGCCAAGCGCTCATACACGTAGATAAAAATAAATTTTTATAAAAGCTAAGGAAACAAAAAGTTTCCCACTGTTTGAACATGGGCGTGGCCAGGGCACGTGCCTCTCCAGTAAGATCTTAGCAGACGTCAGGAAATCCAGAAGTGCGAGAAGCCTGTGTACTTTGCTGTTGCCCTCTCTCATGGATGGGCAAGGTTAGACCCGCATGTGAGGAGCCTCGGGCAGCCGGCAGGAGAGAGCAAGAGGAAGGGAACCGGTGTTTCCTGGTCAACAGCCTGCTGGCTTCCATGAGTGGGAGAGAAGCTATCCTAGGCCCTAGCCTGCGGATGATTAGCCCCCAGTGGCCTACAAGCACCTGTGCAAGCTAGGTAAGGTCAGTGGAGACCTGGCCTGGCTGACTGCAGGCATGGGGGTGATGCTGAAGGACTGCTTTCTGCGGCCAGTCATATCGGGGGAGATTTGCTATGTGGCAGCTGATAGCAACCTTCAAGGAGAGAGGAGGAGGATGTGATCAGTTTCCTGGGGAACAGGAGATGATCAGTTTCTGCTGGGCACAGACAGTTTATCTCATCGCGCACACTGTATGGATTCATTTACATGCATATAACATTAAAAAAAAACATTTTTGAGACAGGGTCTCACTATGTAACCCAAGCTCCTTTGCTTCCTGGATGCTAAGATTAAAGGTGTGTGCCACCATGCCTGGCCTTATTTTTTTTTAATTTTTTTCTTAAAGATCTCTGGGGAAATTGGTGAAAGTTATTCTAGGAGAGCTGAGCCTCTCTGTGGTCACATGACATGGGGAAGGGACAGTTTTTCTAGAGATCTGTGCCCTACCCACATGCCACTGTGCTCAGGCACAGGAGGGTGGCGGGTATGGCCGTGGGCACTAGGCAGAGGCTGCCAGTCTTTCCTGTCTGACCCTGAGCCACTGACCTCTCTACAAGCACCTGGCTGGTGGGCCCCCTGGTCCCGCTGGCTGTCACCAGGTGGAGGGAAGAATCAGTGCAGAGCACCACACACATCATTTCCGACTTTACGGGGCCTTCTGGATACACGTTCCGTCCTTCGTGCACCAGGAAGAATCTTAGGAAGTGAATGCTTTGGCAGAAGCACCCCTCGGGCAGAGCAATGACCCCAAAGAGGAATCCTGGAGAGAAAAAAATTACTCTAGCTGATCAGAAAAGATGAGGTAGCAGCCATGGGTTATAGTTCTGTGACCAGAAAATGTGTGAGGGGCATGTATCAGGTAAGGACCAAGTCAAGCAAGGTGCAGCCTCTGCGAAGGGGAAACCCATGCCCATTGCAGAGGAACCATCGCAAGGAATCTTGTGCCTAGAGAGGAGCTGGGGGATGGAAGACCAAGGCCTTGGCCTTGGAGGGGAAGAAGTAGCAATGGAATGGAGGATCTACAGCCCAGCTGACCTACAAGGGATGACACACAGCACACAGAGGATGTGGCTTTAGAAACTGTATGTGTGTGCAGCCAAGCAAGCATCTACTGATATCCTTGAAAACAAGCTGTTGGCTATGGGGCTGTGAGTCACTGTTGATTCACGATCCCTGTTGAAGCCTGGCTCGTGGATCCTTCCAGATATAAACATCTCTGCATATGCCAGGCTGGACCAGGAACCTGGACCACTGCTAGTCTTGCTTTGGCTGCCTTCTAGGTCCCTAGCTCTAATACCAGCAGAGTTCCTGCTGGTTGGCATGGGGGCAGTACAGCATGGAAGAAGACCTGCTTTCTTTGAGAGCAGGGGCAGAGGCTGCAGGACCTCTCAGGCCGTGCTGGGAGCCATATCTTCCCTGCAGTGGAACAGGGGAAGCGATGGCTGTGTTCTCAGGACCTGATGCACCGCCAGGCACAGAGCCAGCTCTCAATGACAACATGGCAATAGAAGCTAGTGTGTTCCAGGAAGGAAGAAGGGGAAGCAGGCCCAACTGCCCCAAGAGGACTATGAACATAGATGAAGGAATCCCCAGCTCCTGGAGGCTCCCTGAGGAGACCCATCGGTGCTCAGTCAGGGGAGAGATGGGGAACTCACCTTCGGCCAGGTTCCACAGAGTGAGCACACCGTCCTCACAGGCAAGGGCCAGGTAGGAAGAGGAGCTGCTGATCTGAGACACTGTAATGCGCGCAGCACAGGGCCACACGTTCTCGCAGTCTAGAGGGAAGAGACATTTGCCAGGCCCCGCCCCGCCCAGCGCCTCTACCAGGGGAATCTGAGGCCCAGACTGGTCTATCCAACGCAGGCTCTGAGCACTGAGAGCCCCTTGTCTAGACTCTCCACTTCTCTTCAGTACAGAGTAAAATAAGTCATAGCTAACATTTAGTGGCTATTTGTGGGCATGCGCGGGACATAGGCTTCTTACAGGTCACAGGTAGCATTTCATTTAACTTTCAGAAGAGTTCTATGCAGCAGATCCTGTTACAACTGCATCGCATAGGTAAGACTGAGAGATAAACAAGCAGCTGGACTAAAGGCCGCAGCCAATCAGTAGACAAGCGGGGAGGAGGGGGATTAGAAGCCAGGCTGTCCTTCTTCTGCATGCATACTTAACCTGACTCTCTCTCTCTCTCTCTCTCTCTCTCTCTCTCTCTCTCTCTCTCTTTTGAGACAGGGTATCTCTGTGAAGCTTTGGAGCCTGGAGCCTATCCTGAAACTTGCTCTGCAGGCCAGGTTGGCTTTGAACTCACAGAGATCCACCTGCCTCTGCCTCCCTAGTGCTGGGATTAAAGGCGTGCGCCACCACCGCCGGGCTTTAACCTGGTTTTGGAAGCACAGCATGAATGTAAAAAGCACAGGTGCCAGCCACTCAAGACCTTATCCTGAGCAGACTGCACATAAGGCTGTGTCCGTGGATGTGTCCGGCATCACTACCTGTGTTATAGCTTCAAAGGGCTTTCCTATATTGAACCCTCTGGATTTTGCTACTTACAGCCAATACACTCAGCTTACAGTGCTGTATAATACCTCAGTTTTGTTTCAAAGAAAAAAAAATTGGGACGGGAAGCAACTGGTCTGAAACTGAACCTCTTACATACACTGGGCTGGACCAAGCGCTGGCCTTCTGAAGCCAAACCCACTCTCCATTCACATCACATTCTGTAGGGCCCTGTGCACTGGACTCTGGACACTGTCACTACTGACAAGAAACATGACAGTCAGGGACAGACCCTGAGCACCCACTGAGCACCCCACTTCTGCCTGCACAGCTCCGGGTCCCTCAGGACACACTCTGACAGCTCAGCTGGAGACACACAGGCTCTCAGAGCCCCGCGCTAAGGTACTGTCTCAGCCTCGGCAGTTAAAGTACCAGTTTTATCCTTCAGAGTTTTGTTCAGCGAATAGAGGAAGAAATTATGACTGCCAGTCCAGTGTATGCTGAGGACAAGGGCTGCCCCTGGAGGTGGGGAGAGAAGAGAGAGCGTTATTAGACATCAGGTAGCCTTTGGTTTGTGTCCTGCCTGTCAAGTCTGGAGTGTTTCGTTCTAATGGGTTCCTCTCGGCAGAAAGATGGACTTCCCAGGAAGGACGGTTGGTACCTCCCTGGAGGCCATTTCTAGCATAGGCTACAGCTGCCTTTGGCTGCTTTACATCTTCTAGAAGACATCCACTTGGATGTCAGAGTTTGGTCTGGTTGTTACGCATTCATAACCAGAAGCAGCGTGACAGACGTATACTCACACGCCCTTCCAGGGCGGCCCCTCCCTGAAGTCCTGTGCCTTCCATCGTAGGGAAACTGGGCTCAGAGACACATACCCAGACAGACACTGCCAAGCTACAGCTGGCAGCCTGATTACCACCTTCACCATGTGGCACACCTCCAGGAAGCCCCCTTCCCAGATGACTACTGTCCCACTCTCACTTACCTGGACAAATCTTGACATCCATTGGCACTGGGATCATGGAGTGAGTAAGGAAGTGGAATGTGGCCGTGCTGGGAAAGACAGACAGGAGTCAGAGCCACGTACACCCCTTGGCACAATAAGTGACTAAGATCAGAATGGCTTAATTTCTGGGGATGAGCCTCCCAGAGCCTCACGACAGCCGCATGTTGGGACTAAGGGGCCACACAGACCTTGGTCACAGATGAAGACAGTGTTAGTGAAGTTGTGGGTCACTCATAGGCCAGCAGGGTACGGCTGGAGACTCAGCCAAAGGAACACCCCCCCCCCCATACACTTTTAGAAGGCCTTGTCTGTCCTCAGAGGAGATCTCTTTTTTTTTTAAAAAAAAATATTTTTTATGGTTTATTTAACTTTATTTTATGTGAAGGTGTCAGATCCCCTGCAACTGGATCTTCAGACAATTGTGAGCTGCCATGTGGGTGCTGGGAATTGAACTTGGGTCCTCTGGAAGAGCAGTCAGTACTCTTAAGCACTGAGCCATCTCTCCAGCCCCCCAGAAGAGATCTCTTAAAGGCCAGACGTGGGTGACATTCCATAAATGCTTCCTCACCAGGGGGTCACAACACTCAAAGTGTGCTGATAAAATGGCCCTTATTTGGAGTGCTTGTGGATTTTTATGGTATTCCCACAGCGGACAATACATGTGGTCCCTAAATATCTCCCTGGGCAGAAGGAACTAAGTGGGCACCATCAAGCCAGGCAAGGGTCTCAGCTCACAATAAAGGGCTGCCATCAAGGCTCAGCCTTCAGAATCTATATCCTGAGGTGAGGACATTCAAGGTGCACTTGACAGCAAGATGGAGAGATCTCAATTGACATGTGAAAACAAGATTGCTCCAAAGTCATACACAGCTTTGAGGCAAGTTGGTTCTTAAAACCGCGGCTACTTCAGACACTGGGCTCAGTTCTGACCATCAGAACGTGGGCTAACGAGGCTTGCCTGCTGACTGAGGTGTTAGCATATGCTATTGCTAACATACTGTAGTAACTATAGACCTATACAACATCCTGTTTAGAAAGACAAGGAGAGCCTGCTGTGACGCTCAGCAGCACAGATCCTGCCTGGCACACAGGCCCTGGGTTAGATCCCAGTGCTGTAAAATAGCAAGAAGAAATGGAGGGGAATGTCCATAATGGTGGTAACTTCTTTCTTTCTTTCTTTCTTCCTTCCTTCCTTCCTTCCTTCCTTCCTTTCACTTTTTTTTTTGTTATCTTCTCTTTGTGTGCTTTTTCCTTTTTGGAAACCAGGAAGAAACAGAAAAGATGTCATGCACGTATCTAACTCTATCTCATCTCCATAGATACATATGAAGCTCCTGCTTCTTTTCCCTTGTCTGAGGTGCTGGGCTTTGAACCCAGGTTTTGGACAGTGTTCTGCTGAGTCATATAACTATTCCTTCTTTAACGTTCTAGTTCCCAGCTTTCGTTCTAGCTCTATTTAAACAAGCCCCACAGAACATTTTACAAGGATCTGCAGGGGCTGGAGAGAGTGCTCACTGGTTGCGATCACTGTTCTAGAGCAGTTGGGGTCCCAGCACCCCTGTGATGGTAGCTCACAATTGTCTATAATCCGTTTCCCGTGGATGATCTGAGGCCCTCTTCTGATCTCCATGGGCACTGCATGCACATGGTACACAGACATACATGTAGGCAAACACCCATGCACAAAATTTAAAAAGTTAATTAAGTAAAATTAAAATAAACTTTTAAGAAGAATCTGCTGAAATTCTCCCAAGCTCAAAGAGGTTTTAGAGGGGGACTCATCCAGGATGCTTACACGGGTGCAGTGGGCACAGAGCCAGCAGCAGCTCTTCAGCTCTGCAGGAAGCAGGGCCTGGCAGCCTCCTCCCCCAGGCTCACCTGAATGGCTCCTCCTCCCCCATGCTCACTTAAGAGTCTCCTTTTCACCCTGGCTCACCTGAGCTTACATGGATCCTCCTCCCCCATGCTCACCTGAGCGGCTCCTCCTCCCACTCCCCTTCCAGGTACTTCCTGTAGGAGGCACAGAAGATCTCCATGTGCTGTTCCCACTGCACATCCTTGATGAAGTGATTCTGCCCGGAGCCCAGCCCACTGTAGTCCTCTATCTTTGAAAAAATCTCCAAGGGGCTTTTAAATGTGGTACCTGGATTGAAGAGATCCCAGGATTCAATGAAATCCTGTTTCCCTTTGCTGGTTCCTTCAGAAGCCTCACCTCAGAAACCCGCAGTGGATCTGTGAGCCGGGGATCCAGCCCCGCCACCCTCTCCCTCTAATGCACAGGCTCAGAGAGTCCAGGCAAAGGACAAATGTTCTCCCTCTCTGCACCTCCAACCTGGCACCCCAGGCTTTCTGCAAAAAGGCCAAGGAAACGCCCATGGTGTGCTAAGGCCTGTGCTGCTGTTTCTCCAACAAAGAAAGGCCCCGACCTGGCAATGACCATCACTTCCCGCTATTCCTACACAGTCTTTGCCCTCCTCTGCATTCTAGAGCTAGGAGTAAAACCCAGGATCTCATGCCCAGCAGGCAATCACTCCCATTAAAACATTCCCAGTCCACTATGCCGTCTTGTGCCTGCAAGCATGTGTGCATGCGTGTGTGCGGTGTCTGTGTACTTGTTACTATAGGTATGTGTGAAGGCCAGAGGTAGACGACAGCTGTCTTTCCTTGATCATTCTCTACCTCAGTGAATTAAGCTAGACTGAATGGATGACTAGCTTCAGGGATCCATCTAGTTGCCCTCATGCCCTCCCAGTTCTGGGGTTATAAGGCACACACCATCACACAACACTTTTTTTTTTAAATTTTTTTTTATGCTTTATTTAACTTTATTTTATGTGCATTGGTGTGAAGGTGTCAGATCCCCTGCAACTGGATCTTCAGACAGTTGTGAGCTGGGAATTGAACATGTGGGTGCTGGGAATTGAACCCGGGTCCTCTGGAAGAGCAGTCAGTGCTCTTAATCACTGAGCCATATCTCCAGCCCCCACACAATTATGTGGGTTCCGGGGATCTGAACTCAGGTCATCAGGCTTACACAGGAGACACTTTACCTACTGAACTATATCCCAGACCACTACTGCCATTCTTACACAAGTCTCTTGGTATTTACAACTCTTATCTATCTATCTATCTATCTATCTATCTATCTATCTATCTATCATCTCAAGATGTGTAGAGAGTGACCTTGAACTCACGGTCCTCCTGCCCCTGCCTCTGTAAATGCTAGGATTACAGATTCATCTTTTTTTTTGTTGTTGTTTGTTTGTTTTGAGACGTGAAAACAGGCTTCTCTCTGTAGCTCTGGTTGTCCTGGAATTCACTCTGTGTAGACCAGGCTGACCTTGAACTCACAGAGATTCCCGCCCCCCCCCCACGCCTCCGCCTCCCGAGTGCTGGGATTAAAGGCCCTGTGCCACCACTGCCCAGATGATTAATCTTTTCTTAATTACTGTAGTTTTACAACAAACCTTTAACATTTTTATAAAATATATATATTATATATATATTTGCTTTATGTGTGTGTTGCCTGCATGTATGTATGTGCACATGCATTCTTGGTGCCCACAGAGGTCAGAAGAGGGGGCCCGATTCCCCGGAACTGGAGTTATTGATGGTTGTAACTGCCGTGTAGCTGGAGGGACCCAAACGTGGGTCCCCTATAAGAGCAGCAAGTGCTCTTAGCTACTGCTCCATCTCTCCAGCCCTTGTAACAAATCTTGTGAGTCCTATCACTAATTTCTTTTAAAAATTTTTAATGACCTTTTATTTTCCGCGTGTGATGTTTGGCCTGCATGTCTGTGTTGCGTGTGCATGCCCGGTGTCCATGGAGGGCAGATTCGGTGTCAGGTCCCCTCTGACTGGAATGAGCCACCATGTGGGTGCTACAAAGTGAACGTGGTTCCTTTGTGAAAACAACACATGTCCTTACTGCCGAGCCACATCCCCAGCTTCCACTAATATCTTTTTAAGTTAATGCTATTCTTTGGCCTTTGCATTTCTCTCTGATTTTTTCCCAAAATAATTTATTTATTTTTATTTTATGTGCATTGATGTTTTGCCTGCACATATGTCTGTGTGAGGGTGTCAGATACTCTGGAACTAGAGTTACAGACCATCATAAATTCCCAGGCGGGTGCTGGGAATTGAACCCTGGGTCCTCTGGAAGAGCAGCCAGCGTTCTTACCTGCTAAGCCATCTTTCCAACCCCTTCTCTTTGATTTTTAACGGCTGCAAAGTATTCCTATGTATAAATTTTAACTAAAATAGATTTTACCTACCAGTCTGCTGTCCTTGTCAATAACGCTATGAAGTCTATGGGTGTAGGTAAATATTTTTATTGGTATGTCTTTAAGACCATGTGGGTGCCAAGATACTCCATATTCTCCGCTTATAATGGCTCACTGCTTTCCTCTTCTTGGCCAACTCTTACTTAACCTTCTAGACTTTGCTCCAATATCCCTTCATTTGATAAAGCCTTTGTTTATCCCTGGGCAGAGTGAGACATTCCTTTCTGTTTTTACAGTCCTAAATGTTTCCAGTTACTATACTTAAAATACTATACTGTGGCTTCCTTCCACTCTCCCTTTGTCTTTCGGATCTCCATGTTTGTTTGCAGGCATTAAGCAAGAGTGATAATAACTTATATACAAGTATGGGAATGAGCTAATTCTTCCTAGCAATATCTTTGATCTCCTAATTCTGTTTTTTTTTTTATTTATTTTGGTTTTTCGAGACAGGGTTTCTCTGTGGCTTTGGTGCCCGTCCTAGAACTAGCTCTTGTAGACCAGGCTGGTCTCGAACTCATAGAGATCTGCCTGCCTCTTCCTCCCGAGTGCTGGGATTAAAGGCGTGAGCCACCACCGCCCGGCTCTCCTAATTCTGTTTTTTAAAGATTTATTTATTTATTTATTTGGTTTTTCGAGACAGGGTTTCTCTGTGGTTTTGGAGCCTGTCCTGGAACTAGCTCTTGTAGACCAGGCTGGTCTCGAACTCACAGAGATCTGCCTGCCTCTGCCTCCCAAGTGCTGGGATTAAAGGCATGCGCCACCATCGCCCGGCTATTTATTTATTATGTATAGTGTTCTGCCTACATGTATGGCTGCAGCCAGAAGAGGGCACCAGATCTCATTACAGATGGTTGTGAGCCACCATGTAATTGCTGGGAATTGAACTCAGGACCTCTGGAAAAGCAGCCAGGGCTCTTATCCTGTGAACCATCTCTCCAGCCCCAATTTCCTAATTCTACCAACTGAATTCTTGTAATATTTGTGCTTCCTTTTGTTTTTTAGTCCTAAGGCCTCAGAGTTTAAAAATATTCCTCTTTAGAATTGTGCATTTTAATTAGTTATTACTGCTAATAAGTAGGGCTAGAAAGGAAAACAAAAGGGGAACCAAAAGCAAAAAAAAAAAAAAAAAAAGCAAGTGCTACCTCTTACTTACCTGCTATGGGCTTAGGCGGTTTAATCTTCATTACATAAAATGGAGGACTCAACTTAATGTCAGTTTTAAAAGAAATGTTTAAGTCCTAAAATAAAGCAAAGGCACTATAAACTAACAAAGGAAATTATATGGAATCATTAAAATAACCCTTCTTAAGGATGCCAAGAAAAAGAGAAAAATGAGCCGGGCGATGGTGGTGCATGCCTTTAATCCCAGCACTCGGGAGGCAGAGGCAGGCAGATCTCTGTGAGTTCGAGACCAGCCTGGTCTACAAGAGCTAGTTCCAGGACAGGCTCCAAAGCCACAAAGAAACCCTGTCTCGAAAAAAAAAAAAACAAAAAAAAACAAAGAGAGAGAGAGAGAGAGAGAAATGAGCAGGACAAGTAGAAATAAAAAAGAAAGAAATGGAAAACTCAAACTTGCCAATAACAACATTAAATGTAAATGCTCTAAATACTATACTTAGGAAGCAGATACATCAGTTCTGACTGCTAGGTGGATTCACTCATTCTTATATCCCTGTGTTATCACCAATATTTACTGAATATGCATAATGCACCAAGCACAAAAATAAGAAAGAAACATTAATGAAAATACAAACTTCAACCATATGATGTCAAAAACAAACTCTATTTAAGCCAGCACTTGGAAGGCTGAGACAGTAGATTATGAGTTTGAGGCCATCCTGGGCTACAGGGCAAATTTAAAATCAGCTTCAGCTACACAGAGAGATGCTGTGTCAAATAGACAGAGAGAGAGAGAGAGAGAGAGAGAGAGAGAGAGAGAGAGAGAGAGAGAAACCCTACTTCAATTCTCAGTTTAAATATAAATAAACATATTAAAAATAAAACTATTAAAACTGGTGGTCTATATTAACTCGAAATAATTAAAGGAAAGCAGGGGTGGCCGATACTAATGTCTGACTTGGGTTTCAATCAGAACAGCCTACTCAGAGCCAAAGAGTACATGAGTAAAGTTAAAATGTTAGTTTGTCGGAAAACATAGCTCCTCAAATAGTTCTGCATCTAATAACAGGGTTTCAAAATACACAAACAAAACCTCACAGAAGGGAGAAAACAAATACAGCCATAGAGATGCCACTTCCAAATGATGGTAGGATGAAGCACCCAGACATGGGAGTGAAATATAGCATGGATGTAGGAAGAAAAGCAAGAAGGATGCAGAGGATTTGAATAATTTGTCCAAAACAAGCAGACTTTACCATCTTTTCAAATGCATTTAACAATATTTGAGGCATAAAACAAATCTTAATAGACTTGAAAGGTGTCACACTGCAAAAAAAATCCAGTAAAATATTAACAAACTAAAACTAGCAAGCTGTGAAGAGTCAGTCCTGACGATAGAATAGCACAGGACTGGGGAGCTAGTTCAGTGATAAGGTGTTTACCTGGATTGTATGAGGGCTTTGTCTTGGTCCCAAGTTCTGGAAAAAAAAAAAGCACAAATAATTCAGTAATGTTATGATCAAGAAAGAGAAATAGACAAAAGAAAAAAACCACAAAGGAAACATTTACACACATATCTTTGTTGGTGGTGGTGGTGATGGTGGCGGTGGTGGGATGTATGCATGTGCTTTGAGACAGGGTCTTACATTTAGCTCTGGCTGCCCTGGAACTCACTATGTAGACCAGGCTGGACTCTAACTCACATTGATCCGCCTGCCCCTGCCTCCTGAGTGCTAGGATTAAAGGCATGCTCTACGCCCAGCATCACACACATATCTTTATGAAACAGAATGCTTACATAAAATGAATTATCACCGAAACTGACTCAAAACATTGAAAAAATAATGGACTGAACAGCATAGAAGTTGAAAACATAATAAAATTCTTTGCTGTTAAGTAAGACCTCACGACTTTCACCTAAGAGGAAGATATACAGCTTACCTTACAAGGAAGGCTAGCACATCGTGACACTGGAAGCTGAACAGAAAACTATCCAGACAAATTCACACAGAAACAAGAAGCCAGCTTCATGTCTCATATTTAAACTTGAAAATACCTGTGAACCTAGGATTATCGTGTGTGCGCATGTGTATGTGCGAGAGTGTCTGTGTAGATCACCCAAACAGAGCACACTACCGAACAGCTCAGCACAGGCTACGTAGTCAGCCCACGCTGGGTAGGTGTTTTTTATTTATTTATTTATCTTTGTTTTTATCAATTTGACACAATCTAGGAGTCATTTGGGAAGAGAGACCTTCAGCTAGAAAATACCCCCATCTAGGCATTGCAATCCCTGACTTCAAACTCTACTACAGAGCTACAGTACTGAAAACAGCCTGATATTGGCATAGAACAGGCAGGAGGACCAGTGGAACCGAATAGAAGACTCAGATATCAATCCACACATTTTTGAACACCTGATCTTTGATAGAAGCAAAAAGTATCAAATGGGAAAAAAGCATATTTAACAAGTGGTGCTGGCATAACTGGATATCAACATGTAGAAAAATGAAAATAGACCCATATCAATCACCATGCACAAAACAAACTCTTAGCAAGCTGAGGCTGGAGGGACAGGCCCAGGCTGAATTAGACACAGGCTAATTTACTGCCTCTCTTCAACATTTTTAGTAGGGACCCTGGAAAGCCTAAGAGAGCAAGAACAAGAAACAGAAAAGGTTGTCAGGACTTGTAGCTGTGGTTATGTCTACAAGATACAAAGTTATTAGACAGCAAGCAAGTCATGAGAAGAGATAGAAATGCTCAGTAAAGAGATCGGCAGGGCCAGGATGGGAGGAAGAGAACAAGGCGCTCACAGCCCAGCAGGGCCTGGAGAGACTCACAGAGGCCTTCGTTCGGATGTGTGAACTCTGCACCTAAGAGTCTCTCCCTTTTATTAGATCGATTTTTGAAGTCGTGTGTTTGTGTGGAGGAGTGTGCATTAAGTGTAGGTGGTGCCTGAAGAGGCCAAAGGAGGAATTCAATCCCCTGGAGCTGGAGTTACAGACAGTTGTAAGCTCCAGTTGTAGGTGCTGGGAACCAAACTCAGACGCTCTGCAAGGGCAACAAGTGCTCTTGACCACCGAGACATCCCTCCATCTCTCCAGCCACCCTTCATTTTTTTTCTGAGAGTATTTCTTTAAATTCTGCTCCTTCATTTAAGCAACATACAAAAATCAGTAAGTTCATATGAACCAGTGTCTTTTTTGAGACAGAGTCCTGTTTTGTAGCCCTGGCTGTCTGTCCTGGAACTCACTATGTAGACTAGGCTGACCTTGAATTTTCAGAAATCTGCCTGCCTCTGCTTCTTGAGCTTTGGGATTAAAATTGTGCACCACTGGGTGGTTGCAGTGCATGCCTTTAATCCCAGCACTCAAAGGCAGAGGCAGGCAGATCTCTGTGAGGTCGAGGCCAGCCTGGTCTACTGAGTGAGTTCCAGGGCTGGTTCTATAGCTACTGAGAAACCCTGTCTCGAAAAACCAAAACCAACCAACCAACCAAATAAATAAATAATGTTGTGCACCACACCATGTCTGACTTCTTGTCTTTTTTTTTTTTTTTTTTTTTTTTTTTGCCTCCCCAGCCCTGAACACTTCTCTCTGGAGGAGCCTCAACCATTGTTTACGTCTTGAAGAATGTTTCTTCTCTGAGAGAGAATTTCATGTACCACAGGCTGGCTTCATAATTGCTCCATAGTCAAGGAAGACTAAGAACTCTTGGTCCTCCTGGATGGCCCTCCCAAGTGCTGCAGGAGCCTATGCCTCCATGCTGTTGGCTAGTGAGCCAACTTTTCCAAGAGTGATGTTGCCATGTGTTGTTTATGTAGCTTGAGACTAAGTGTAACTTCAAGGGTGGGAGGAAGGACTCTCACGAAGGACCCCATTTCAGATGTTTGTGGGTCCTCTGCTAAACCTTAAGAAAGGGTATGTATGCTCCATGCACCCCAGCACAGGAAGTCTGCACCATCTCCCAAAGCATCACAAGATGAAAATGAACCCCACAGCTCTCACTTGACTTGGTGGACCACACCGTCACAGTGGCAGGGGCAAACCCAGGTTTCATGGGGTCCTCTTTAAGGCAAAGAACAAAATCAGGACATGGTAGTGTGTGTCTGGAATACCAACACTGGGAGGCAGTGAAAAACTGATAGTTCGAGATCAGTGTGGGCTACATGGACACCCAGCCTCAAAAACAAATACCCATAAAGTTACCAACCCAGAACACCCACAGCCATTCTAACCCACTCCACACGAGGGAGATTACAGCATAGGGAAATTAGAGTCTCAAGTGATGGCGATGAACAATACTTTGGGGGCTTGTCAGTGGTGGGGCTGGGGCTGAGCTCCCTGAGCTTCAGACAAACCTGCCTCAGGTCACATGGTTTGAGGCTGTCTTCAGTGGTTGTGAGATTTGCGATTAAGACCCAGAGATGCTGGGAGCAGGGCCCCAGCAGGACATGTTAGCAGCACACTTGATAGAGGATGCACTTTTCACTTACGGGCACGAACCCTTCAAATGGAACTTAGGTCTCTTTGAAGACCGTCTTTAAGGGTCCTTACCGTTTCCACACACTCTATAGCAGCAGGCTCAGGAGTGCTCTGAGGAAGGAAAGAGGAAACGGAAACAAATTCACAATAGGTTTTATGTGTGTTCCTGACTCCCTGCTATCTTCAGAGATGTTCTTTCTCCCCTGGTCCCATTTTTTTCTTTTAAGAAGTGAATTCACGAGCTGTGTATGGTGGCGCACACCTTTTAATCCCAGCACTCAGGAGGCAGTGACAGGCAGGTCTCTGTGAGTTTGAGGCTAAACTGATCTACAGAGTAAGTTCCAGGACAGCCAGGGCTGTTACACAGAGAAACCCTATCTGAAAAAAACTAAACAAAACAACAAACAATAACAACAAAAAGAAGTGAATTCATGGCGTACACATGGAGGTTCAGTATCTGGGCAGTCCCCTAGCCTATAGGGTTTTAAGATGTGACCTTTAAGGTTGGAGAAAGATGAAGTACTTAGAGACTATAGGTGTGGGATGAGTAGATCCGTTAGGACACTATTATAAAAATGAATGTTGGAGAAACTTGCAATGAGTATTTCTTTAATTTTTTATTATTTTATGTGATATATATTTTATTATATTGTAATTAATTTTTTATAAATTAAATTAAAATTTAATATCAAATTAAATAGTTCAATTTAAAAATTTAATATTTAAAGAAATAATTTAGTTTAATAATTAATTGACTTTTATTTATTTGTGAGAAGGAGCCTTGTGTGTGCCATGGTTGGGTTGTGGGAATCGGAGAACGACCTGTGGGAGTCAGTTCTCTCCTGCCATGTGGGTCTCAGGGGTCAAACGCAGGCTGTCAACTTGTCAGTGTGTTCCTTTTCCCACCGAGCAATCTTCAGGGCCGTCCTTTTCTTTTTTAAATTGACACATGTATAGAGCACCATGGGATGTTTCTCCACATGGTTATATTGTGTTGTATTCCTTTTACGTTTCTTTTTTCTTCCAAGACAGGGTCTTACTATGTAGCGCTGGCTGTCCTGGAACTCACTTCGTAGATCGGGCCGGCCTTGAACTCAAATCCATCCACCTGCTTCTTCCTCCAGAGAGCTAGGGTGAAAGGAGTGTGCCACTATGCCCAGCAGCCTCTGTTGTGTTCCTAAAGTGAACATTTCTGATTTGGGAGATATAACAATGATGATAACAGTTTATATTTAAGTAACTCCAAATATAACTTACAGTAAAAGATCTACCAGCTGGGTGGTGGTGGCATACACCTTTAAATCCAGCACACAGGAGGCAGAGACAGGCAGATCTCTGTGAGTTCAAGGCCAGCCTGGTCTATAAAAGCTACTTCCAGGACAGGCTCCAAAGCTACAAAAAAAAAAAAAAAAAGATCGACTACTGTTCCATGCTGGTTGATTCTCAGTACATTAAGAAAAAAAAAAAACCAAAAAAACAAAAAAACAAACCAAGTGAATACCCAGGCAGTGGAGGCAGATACTTTTAATTCCAGCACTCAGGATCTCTGAGTTCTAGGCCAGCCTGGTCTATAAAGAGAGTTCCAGGACAGCCAGGGCTATACAGAAAAACCAAAAATTTGTCTTAAAAAAACAAAAATCAATCAATCAATAAAATTTAAAAAGCCAGGCAGTGGTGACACACCCCTCTAATTCTAGCATTTGGGAGGCAGAAGCAGGCAGATCTCTGATCTTGAGAGTGAATTCCAGGACAGCCAAGGTTATACAGAGAAACCTTGTCTGTATTACTACACTCTGGGAGACCCTGCGTGGACCACGAAACCTTCAAGGATCACTTCAGACCAGGAGAGGGAAAGTTATCTGTGGGGCAGGAATCAGAACAACCCCCCATCCCCCGCGAAAGAATTGCCTGTGTGCCGTCTCAGGGGTAGCAACTCCAAGGCAAGAGAGACCCTGAAACTCGGGCTCCTCAAGATACCTTTATTGACAAATATTCTATCTAAAGTAAATCAGTTCTGGAGACAGTCACTGTTCCTGCTCTCATCTGTCAAGCCTTTCAGTGGCCTTGCTATTTCCACGGAGGATTTAGGGTAGAATTGGGCTAAGGGCGGAGAGAAAAGCAGTGATTGAAAAAGCTGTTTCCTACCAGTTGCAGCTGCTTGGTTTTTTTCTTTGGATTTTGAGCAGACTGTGGGTGCTCCATTTCCTTTATCCAAGTCTCCTTGGGCAATTTATACACTTCCAGCCAAATATCCCCAGCTCCTGCGTTGGGAAACCAAACAAGCAAGCGTTAAGTAACTGCTAGCAGGCGAGTTTCAGCTGAAGAAGGTGTGTTTTCTCAGAAGTGCTGGCCTGCAGAGCCAGAACCTTTGCAGCAGGCACCCATGGAAGAGAGGCTTGCACCAACTGAAGCACTGGCTATGGCCAGCCCTCACTAACCGAGCAACGTTTGCATGGAGAGCTGACCCCTTACGCCACGGCTATCTAATGGAATCAGGGGCTTCTCCCACAACACTGACACAATGCATTTTTAATCAAACTGTCTTCTTTGCCAAGTCCCCTGATTTCTGTGCCGCAAACAGTCAGTTCTACTGGCAGTCTGTCCTAGAGTTGACATTGCCAGCTAGGGAAGGAAGGTGGCACATCTGAGCACAGTAAGAGAGTCTTGGAGCAATGGAAAGGTTGGAATTCTTCCAGCCAACCTTTGAGATGATGATCTATGGGATGCTATTGGGCCTTCTCCCAGCGCAAGGCCCAGTTGGGAGAGGTTGCTCTCCCACGAACTGGGTCCTGCCTCAATGTTCCATTAAGACTACAGTCATCTGGACACTTTAACATCACACTTCTGGTTTCCAGAACCATGATGGAATAAATGCCCATCATTCTAAGCTGCCCACTTTGTGGTACTTTGTTGTGACAGCCCAAGAACATGACTGCATGTATGTTTGTACATCATGTATGTGCCTGGAACCTGCAGAGACCAAAAGAGGGTGCCAGATCCTCTGGAACTAGTGTTACATATGGTTGTTCGCTGCCATATCAATACTGGGAATCCAACCTGGGTCCTCTGGAAGAGGATCCAGTGCTTTAACTGCTGAGCCATCTCTCAGGCCCCTACCATGTCCTAAATTTTCTAAAATCTCAAATCTCTATCTTCCTCAAGCATTTAGTATTTTAGGGCCCATAGGGGACAAAAAAAGTATAAATTCAGACTCATATAAAATATGTTCAAATATTTAAAAGCTGAAAATCAAACCACCAAACATTTGAATAAAATATCTTCTGTTTACACAGGCATAACTGCAGCTGGCAAGATGGGCTACAGGGGCTAAGACTGGCAGGTAATCTTAGATATCTTAATTCTTCTTAAAGTTTTACCTGCCAGATCTCTGAGTTTGAGGCCAGCCTGGTCTACAGAGTGACTCCCAGGATAGCCAAAGCTACACAGAGAAACCCTGCCTCAAAATACAAAGAACAAAACAAAAAAGTTTACCCACCAATCTTAGCACCCTCTACACACGTCACAGTTGTGTAGCTTGGTGTTCTTGTGGGACTCCTAACAGTGGGAACGGGGCTGTTTCTGATTCTTTTGCCTGCTTTTGGGACCCCCCTTCATCCTACTGTATTGCCTTGTCAAGCCTTAATATGAGGGGAGGTGCCTTGTCCTTATTGAACTTGGTATACTTGTCTGGTTACATCCCTGGGAAGCCTGCCTTTTTCTGAAGGGAAATGGAGGAGGAGTAGATCTAGGGGAGAGGAGACTGTGAGGAAAGGAAACTGGTCAGGATGTAATATATGAGAGAAGAGTTTTAAAAAAAAAAGAAGGAAAGAAACAAGACAAAAAAGATATCTGTATCTTCTCAAAGCTGTTCCCCACATGTCTAATTATTACAACAATGGTTTCAACAGAAGACCACACGATCTTTGATACTCCTGCCTCGGGAGACACCTACATCACCTTCCTCTGAATGCTGTCTGGACTTAGGGACTTGCTCCTTGAAGAGGATAAAAAGGAAAACAGTGAGCTAGGTAGACCTAGAGTGACAGCTACTCTGGAGGGTGAGGTAGGAGAATTGCTTTGCTTGTGCACAGGATTTTGGAGCCAGTCTGGAGGAACCTGTGAGCTAGGCTAATATGAGCAAAAGCAAGTCAGCTGGGACCCTACAGTTCCTGAGACAGTGTGCTGGTTTCCCCTAAATCCCAGCCTCGGCTGGGCCATGAGAAAAAAGGTAGACACCCTGAAGTGAAGGGCACCCAACTTGCTACTTGGTTGATTCTCCTGGAAAATGTCAAGATAATGGAAACCATGCAATGACCAAGAAGCTGTCATAGGAGTACACTAGGGGGACATGTGACTCCATGCAATATTGTATCTTTGCCTAAAACAAGGAGAAAAAAAATAACAAGAAAAAAAAAGCTGAAGCGATGGGAAACCTAGTCAGTAGGGGCTAGTCAGTGATCTAGTACCATTGTTACTGGCTTTGTGTCCACACTCACGCCATAGGGTAAATGGAGGCTAGTGAAGAATACAGAGGAACTATGTCTGGCTTTGCTACTGTTCTGGTTTTATTTTTAAGGCTTTATTTATTTCCTGTGTCTGAGTGTTTCGTCTCCAGGTATGTTTGTACACCACCTGTGTGCAGTGCCCAAGAGAGGATGTCAGATATCCTGAAACTGGAGTTACAGACGGTTGTAAGCTGTTATGGGGATGCTGGGAATCAAGCCCTGGGCCTCTGGAAGAGCAGCCAGTGCTCTCAACTGATGAGCCATCTCTCCAGCCCTTGCATTTTTTTTTAAATTGAAAGTTATTTATTTTGTTTGTTTTTTTGAGTCAGGGTCTCACTATGTAGTCTTACATGCATGATCCTTCTACCTGAGCCTCCCTGGTGCCACCACACATATCTAAATCTAGAATTAGTCCTAAATAAAAGGGAGAGACACAGATCGGAACCTTCCTCGCAGCTTTTGGGTGAGCTTGCCTTGGAAGAGGAATGCAGCGTAGTCCCCGGTCTGAGAGAGCTCTGTCTTTACACAGCTGCTTTGCTTGCTGGCATCATCCTGAAAAGAAGAGATGCTGAGAGAGTGAGGGCCATGCTGGGGAGGAGCATATGGCAGGGGTTCCTGTGGGGCACACCTGGACAGGGGTCCTCAGAAGCCTGCCATGGTGCAGTGCCGCCCATCATTTTGCATTCCCCATCTCTGCCCAGGAACGGGACAAGACAGCATGTGAAGAAATGGGACTTGCTGTAGACACCGTTCCTTGTGGGTCATGGGATGCCATCTGATGTGGTTTGCAAACCCTAAAGTCAATTATTCAGTTTAGTCAAGGTGAGATCTCTACGATACTGAACACTGGTGCTTGTTGGACAAGCCTCGAGCTGGAATAGAGCAGAAGCTGGGTTAGCCTTGGAATAAAGCTCCTCCAATCTGGGGCCAACTGAGAGAGGCTGGGAGATGGGTATGCTACCTTGGAGGAGTTTGAGAGCTACTAATAAAATAAGGCAGCTAGACTAGTTTTATTGGTGAGCGCCTTAATTTGTTTAAAGAGTAAACAATTTTTATTTATGTATCTCCATATCTAGCAACTTACAGCAGAGATTTTGCAAACCTACAAAATGAAAGTGGCATGAACAGCCCCCATGTGGCTCTCATGATGCTCCACTGTACCTGTACCAGGCTCCATTGGGCTACAGCGTAGCTCCACTGTGATGTAAAAACGCGCAATCGTAGCACACGCCTTTAATCCCAGCACTCTGGAGGCAGAGGCAGGCGGATCTTTGTGAGTTCAAGGCCAGCCTGGTCTAAAAGAGCTAGTTCAAGGACAGAAACAAAAAAGCTGAGGAGAAACCCTGTCTTGAAAATTCAAAAAAAAAAAAAAAGCACAATCGTGACACCATAATACAGCACTGTTAACCTCAAAATGCTGACTTGTGCCCACACAATGCTTCATGACAACATTACAATGATGCATTGTGACATCTCAACTCTTCATTCTGCAATCTTAACGCCGTTTGTGATGTCACAGTGCTCCACTGTAGACATAATATTGTACTGTGCCACCACAATGCTGAATTGTGACAAGATAATGTTCTATTGTGTCATTAGAATGTTTCATTGAGACATCACAGAGCTAAATTGTGTAATCAGAATGCTGCACTGTGGCATTATGTCCATTATGTGATGACAATACTGTTTGTTATAACGATCTACCATACAACACAAGTTTGCATTTAGACATAATAATTCTGCATTGTGCCATTACAATATTCAATTTTGTCACCACACTGCTGCATTGTGATGTTATAATCTACACTGTGACATCACATTGCATCCCAACTGATGTCACATTACTTAACTGTGCTGTCACAATGTTGCACTGGATAATTTGTGATGTAAAGTACATTAAAATGCTTTCCTGAACCATCAAAATGATGCATCGTGACATCATTGTCCTGCACTGTAACATCACAATGATGTATTGTGACACCACTATCATAACTGTAACATCACAAAGATACATTGTGACATCACTGTCCTGCACCGTAACATCACAATGACGCATTGTGACATCACTGTTACTACACTGTAACATCACAATGATGCATTGTGACATCACTATCCTGCACTGTAACATCACAATGATGCATTGTGACATCACTGTTACTACATTGTAACATCACAATGATGTATTGTGACACCACTATTATAACTGTAACATCACAATGATGCATTGTGACATCACTGTCCTGCACTGTAACATCACAATGATGTATTGTGACATCACTATCATAACTGTAACATCACAAAAATGCATTGTGACATCACTGTCCTGCACTGTAACATCACAATGACCCATTGTGACACCACTATCCTGCACTGTAACATCACAAAGACGCATTGTGACATCACTATCATGACTGTAACATCACAATGATGCATTGTGACACCACTATCCTGCACTGTAACATCACAAAGACGCATTGTGACATCACTATCCTGTACTGTAACATCACAATGATGCATTGTGACACCACTATCCTGCACTGTAATATCACAATGACCCATTGTGACATCACTGTCCTGTACTGTAACATCACAATGATGCACTGTCCTGCACTACAACAATATTACGTTGTGAGTCCACAAAGCTCCACCATGCCACTGGAATGCCCATTGTAGCATTACACTCCACTGTGACAATTTCCATTGTGTCATCATGATGTTGCATTGTGGCGTCACAATTTTAGTTGTATTTATTACCGTCCAAACCCAAGAAATTGGTAATTTTTATTTAAGTTCCCCTAATGAATTCCTAATGAGAGCTAATTACTAGTCGGTTTTTCAGTTTCCTCAGTTGCCTCAGTGAGGATATGAATATCTTTCACAATTGCTATGTTCAGATCACAATCAAAAGAAAGCCCATCAGGCACTGTGGTGCACACCTTTAATCCAGAGACAAACTGATCTCTCCAAGTTCAAAGCTGACCTGGTCTACATAGCACATTCTAGACCAGGCAGGGCAAAATAGGGAGACCCTCTTTCAAAACACAAAAACAAATAACCAACAAAAACTCCAAAGTCCATGGGTCTGGAAAGACGGTTTAGCTGGCAAAGGGCTTGCCATGTAAGCATGAAGACCCGAGTTTGGATCCCCAGCATTCATGTAAAATTTGGATACAAATTGTCAAAACATAAAGTTAATGATGATGACGATGAGTTGGGGGAGGCAGTGTGTGCCTCTAATCCCTGTGCTGGGGAGGCAGAGAAAAGAAGACCCTGAGCTTGCCTCTCCAGGTGGTCAAATCAGTGAGCTACACACAGAGTTAGTGAGAGCCTGTGCCAAACTAAGGTGGAGAGTGGTTGAGGAAGACACCAGAAGTTGTCCCCTGGCCTCCACATGGGTGCATGCCCATCTGCACATACATGTACAGACATATGAACACACACAAGTCAAACTGCGCTTTAAAACCTACAATTACTATAGTTTTGAGAACTTATTAATGAAAAAAATACTGAGAAGTACAGTTCTTTCTGAATGTCACAGTGGAGACACCAACTCCTGAAAGTCATCTTCTGACCTCCACATGTGTGCAGTGACTCTGCTCTCTCTCTCACAGACACACACAAACACACACGTGTACACACACAAAATCAACTTCTGCTATTTTCCATTCCATGCTATATGCATATGTACATATATGTATATATATTAATGTGTGTATCTGTAAGAGTATATGCCATGTGTGGTGTGGGTGCCCCTGGGCTGGCATTTCAGGGTGGCCTGATGTAGGGACTGGGAAGAGCAGCAGGCACTCTCACTGGCTAAGCCACCTCTCCATCCCCTGCATTTGCATCCTTCAACCCCTGCTGTGCCCAGGGCATTTTTATGGCCCAGTTCTAAGGTTCTGGAAGTTGATGACATACTCTCACATCCCTTAGTAAGATCATATCTGTCCCTAGACAAAACTTCCATCCCATCTCCCTGACTGTTGTGAGTCTCCAGGAGCGTCACAGAGCCTGGCAAGCATCACCTGACTGCTCAGTTACCACAGCAGCCAGCATTTCCCAGAATCCATGGCGGTTGTAGACTAGAGTTTCAGCGGAGTCTTTCTTGGCATGGGATTCATTTCCTTGCTCCTCCAAAGATTCTGCTCCTTTTTTTGCATCTCCATCCTTGAGCAGTTCTGGGTTAGTCACTGTCATTTCTACACTGTACTCTGGGGCAGTCCCCATCTTACTGCCTGACCAGAAAGCCAGCTAAAAGAAAGGCCTAAAAAAAAAAAAAAAAAATCTAGCCGGGCGGTGGTGGCGCACGCCTTTAATCCCAGCACTCGGGAGGCAGAGGCAGGCAGATTTCTGTGAGTTCGAGACCAGCCTGGTCTACAAGAGCTAGTTCCAGGACAGACTCCAAAACCACAGAGAAACCCTGTCTCGAAAAAAGCAAAAAAAAAAAAAAAAAAATCTAGGATAGACAGTTATTATTAAAAGTAATTTAAGCCGGGCGGTGGTGGCGCACGCCTTTAATCCCAGCACTCGGGAGGCAGAGGCAGGCGGATCTCTGTGAGTTTGAGACCAGCCTGGTCTACAAGAGCTAGTTCCAGGACAGGCTCCAAAACCACAGAGAAACTCTGTCTCAAAAAACCAAAAAAAAAAAAAAAAGTAATTTAAAAATTTCTAGAGGTTGCAACACCCATAGGTTTGAGATTTTCCTGCCCCACGGTGGAGGTGTTTGCAACAACCATCTGGGAAAGAAAGTTCATCTCCAGTACAACCCCAATGCCATCTGGGACCGGAGGAAACTGGTAGCAGCCCACACTAGCGTCCATTGGAGTAAGATCGGTCTTTAAAAGTGGAACACAATTTTTAAGGACCATATGTCTCAGGAGATTATAAAATCCATGACAGGATAAAGCAGGTGCTTTATTACTGAAAGAGGGGGATTTGTTTCCCCTGCCCTGCCCTGCCCTGCCTTCCTCTCCCACCTTCTCTTGACAACTATTATGGATGCCCATTTTAAACAAGTCACATGAATTAAAAACTTAAATGCAGGGGCAAAAAAGCAATTTTAAAATTGTGTGTGTGTGTCACAGTGAGAACTGAAGTCAGAACTCAACTTTTGGGAGCTTGTTCTCTCCTTCCACCATGTAGGTCCTAAGAACGCAGGTCATCGGGCATCAGGCTCTGCAGCAAGCACCTTACCCCTGAGCCATCTTGGTCCCATTTGGTTTTAGTACAGTTTGATTTGCTGCAGCTTCATACATCCTGGATACAAGCCTTTATCAGTGAGTGCCTTGCGTTGCCTACTTGATGTTCCCCAGCCAAAGGTGAAAGAACAGGGACTCACCATTTCATTGATGGCTTTGATGAGAAGAAGACTGTCTTTATACAAGTAAAACAATCTCACAATGCCTGAAACAGGAACATAGAGACTGTGAGCCCAGGAAGCCAGGCGGGGTCGGGGCATAGTCTCTGCCTCTAAGCTCATTGCCCCATGCGGCCTATGCTGCTCTGATCCCCCAGCAGTCCCCACCTTACCTTGAGATCCTCAGTCTTCTTTCCTACCCAGACCCCTCCTGCCTAGCTAGTGTTACCCACATTTCCTGGAGGTCTCCTGTAAGCAGGCCAGTCACAGCACTCCCAGCCCCTTCTTCACACTGCCACCCAGCTGTTTGCTGTGAACAGAAAGGATTATCCCTCACCGTTCCATGAGCCTTAACCCCCTAGGCTCCTCGTGCAATTAATGCTGTTGAGTTCAGGATGCAATTGTCACCTACAGTAACTTCTTACCTCCCTCCCTCCCTTTCTTCCTTTTTTCTTTCTATCTTTTTTTTTTTTTACTTTTTACGTTTATTTAGGAAGTTATTCATAACCTGCCTTTGCACCCGTGATACAAACTGACCACATAGAGGTGTTTGACCCACTGTGGGTGAATCTAATCCATCCTAATAAAGATTCATGGGACAGGTATTCTGTGACACTGTACAAGGGTCCCCAAGGCAGTCTGCCTTCAGATTCATCAAAAGAAGATAACACAGACATGAAACTATCTGTATAAGGGATCATAATGAATATGGCTTTTCCTTTATCCCAAAGACCCTGTGTTTTGCCCAGCCAGATATCCTGCAGGTATCTCAAATCTGTGGGTTCAGATGGACTTTTTCAATTCACATGACCCGAAACCTTATTCTCCTATCATTCTTACTAAGCTCATCCAGGTATCCAATGCAGGAAGGAATCTTCACTGCCTGTGCTGCCCAGTACGCCTCCTTTACCACAAATAGGTTTAACGTTAAGTCTTTTTGGTAGAAAGGGTAATTGAGATAGGCTCTCATGTAATTCAGCATGGTCGAAAACTACGTAATGAAGGATGACCTTAAACTCCCGATCCTCTTGCTTCTTCTGCTGTGCGACTGCCAGGTTGCATGTATGAGCGGCTACTCATCACCTCGTCTATTGTATTCCCCTTTCCATTTTAAGAAATTTAAATTTTTTGTCAGAACTTATTTATTATGAGAGGGGGCACTCATGCCACACAGGCATGTGACAATCAGAGGACAACTTGCAGGAGCCAGGCCCCTTCTACCAGGTGAGTCCTAGGACCCAAAGCACAGCACGATAGCGAGGCAATCCTACCAGCCCTCTCATTTCATTTCTAAGTTTTTTGTTTGGAGCTGATTTTATTCCAGAGGAAAGGTGCAAAAACAGAACTGACACTCCCTTGTATCTTCCACTTCACTTCAGCTAAATCCACAGCTTGGACCATCACAGAACAATTTTTCCTTTATTGACCCTTCCTGGCTCAGACCTTCAAATTTCTTCAGATTTTCTCTCTTAAATGAAAACATCAGTCCTTCCCACAAGTCTCCCCTCACTCCTCTCTCTCTCTCTCTCTCTCTCTCTCTCCACCCATACTTGAAAAAGAAATTAAACTGAATACCAGTCTACAAGCACTTATAAATTAATCTAAAACTGAAGAAAAACAATACCTATTTCATCCACAGGAACAATAAGTACTTCGTTGCCCAGATCCGTGGCCCAGATGGAAACAACATCAACCTTAAACTTCTCCCATACATACATTCTTTTGAAATTGTGCAGATTATAGATGGAGAATCCTTTGACTCCTCCAACAAACAGATAGTCTTGTGAAACAGCCATGCCGCCAGGCCTTTTGCTGAGCTGGGGAAGCACAGACATAAAAGGACCAAACTGAGTCTTTCCAGCTGTCGATGCCATCGAGCAATCTGAGCTAACTTTTCAAAGAGAGCTCATCATAGGCACAGCATCGCCAAATGTGTGCCTGTTGAAAATGCTTGCCGTAAGCATTTCCCTTTGGGGGGCAGTAGCCAGGGAAAACAAAAGTTGAGACTAGATAGATATTCTGAACGTAAGCACACCTACAGGTCCTCTGCTGTATTAAATCTAGTGTCCTGTGGGAAGAACAACATCTGAGCCACTGATAGGCCTCAACTGCCAAGCATGGAGGGGGCCTGATACATTAATGAAGCTTTTCAGTGTCAATAACACAGCACAAAGGGCCTTAGTGCAGTCAGCTAACCATAACACCCCACTGCCCGCAGGCCACTGCCAGCTTTTTTTCTTTTACCAAAAGCAACATGCCTACTATCTATCAAAAATGCACATGTGCTGTTCATAGAGCTCGGTAGGAATTCCTCCCTTCCCTGAATCAGGCATTTCCATTAACATTGAAATGAAAACCAGGCACCCTCGTTCATACCTGGATCTCTGTGACTGGAGGGTAGACAGTGGGCTGGACGCGGTTTTTCTCAGTTTCCCGGACAGCTTCTCTCTCTTGGATAATTTCCCACGAGTGGTCAAACAGCTGGTTCACTAGCTTGTTGATCATTCGGTAAGGCTGAGGCAGGGAGTCCAGCTCTTGATCCACGTCCCTGAAGACAAAATCCTTTTCATCATCCTTAGGCCAGTCTGCCTCTGTTGGAGAGGGAATCTCCAGTGGTCCCTTGGCAAACACAGACAGCCTGACTTTCTGAGCCTGACTTCCTTTCGAGGATGACATCTCAACAGGTGGCAGTGAGAGCTTCTGGGAACTCCAAGCTGAGAAGCAAAGCAAGAGGAGAGACTTTGAGAAGAAGGTAAATAAGAAGCCAGGCTGTCTCAAGATGACTTCCTTATGTATCATAGGATTGCTACCACATTCCCGGGATATGGTCTTCATAGTCACGTGGGCATTGGAAGGGACAGGTACTTCCAGACTAACCCATGATGATGTGCACTGATGTGGAAGAATTCGTCATTCTGTTGTCCTTCTTCCCCTCCTGATAGAAGTAACTATCTTGTGTTCTAAACTGAACCCACTTACAGCCAATACCTTTCCCTGGTTGTCTGCCTTTGCAGATGTCTCTGGTTAAGCCACTGAGTCTCCCTCTTTCTCTCTCCTCAGGACCAGTCAGATGCAGCTTAACACTTCCAATCTTGGTGGTGTAATGTGTTCCCTCATCAGGAGCTTTGTGGGTCCCATGCCCCGTGTCCTGCATCTGTGAACTTCTTCAAGAGTCTACAGAACTATCTCGGGCATGGAAAGACTACTGACTAAAAAACCTGCAAAATCAGAATAATTAGATATTTCTAAAGTAGTTATAACTTAGCATCTCTTCTCTATATTTCTGTATGAAGTAGAAGACGACGGGAAGGGAAAAAATAATCTGTATTTCAAAAGCTTAAAAGTTGTGTACCATTCTGAGTAAAAGAGATTTCAAATGTTAATTACATTTTCCTACTTATTTGTGTGTGTGTGTGTGTGTGCTCACATATGCACATACACATGTGTGCCATAGTGCATGTGTGGTATGGTGGATAGGTATGACTCCCATAGACCCCCATGTGTTTGAATGTTGGCCCATAAGGAGTAGCATTACTAGGAGGTTTGGTCTTGTTGGAGTAGGTGTGACTTTGTTAGAGGAAGTGTGTCACTGTGGGGGCGGGTTTTAAGGTCTCATATATGTTCAAGCTATGCCCAGTACACAATCACTCCTGCTGTCTGCAGATTAAGATGGAGAACTCTCAGCTTCTTCTCTAGCACCACGTCTGCCATGTCCCCCATGATGATAATGGACTAAACCGCTGAAACTGTGCGCCCAATTAAATGTTTTTCTTTGTAAGAGTTGCCATGGTCACGGTGTCTCCTCACAGTGATAGAAACCCAAACTAAGATATATGAGAGTTCAAGGAACAACCCTGAGGAGTTGGTTCTCTCCATCCTCACGAGTCCTAGAAATTGAACTCAGTCATTAGGCTTGGTGACAAGTGCCTTTACCCACTCAACCATCATGCCAGCCTGTCATGGCTTTAAAAAGCATTTGATGACAAAATTATGAGACATTTTAAGATGCTTAACTCAGGGCAGCATGGTCTTCTGTTGATAAAGTGGCTGTGGTCTATGGGGGTCCTATAAAGAGCCTGCTGCCATCACTGTCTTTCCCTACACGCTGGAGTGCATATACGATGCTTCCAGTATGTGATGGACAAGGCTAGTTGATACTGGGGCAAGGACCACTTGAGGGTGTTAGTGAGGACAGTCAGCTAAACTCACACAGAGCAGGGACTACTGTGGTTTCTTTAACTAGCTAGACTAGACAATCTCATAAGTCACAAGCAGTGGATAGAGCATTCAGAAGGGTCTAGACTTGCTAGTGGGAAACATAAGCCCAAGAGGGAATTATTGCATCAGAATCACACACATGAAATGATGTATTAGAATGTAAAAGGCCAAACAGCCTTTAACAAACTTTATCTCAGAGCAAAGATTAAACGGAGAGAGAGAACTCATTCATGGGTTGGAAGATTCATTTTGTTAAAATGTCAGTTCTCCCTACATTGACTATACATTTGTTATAATCCATATGATAATCCAAGCTGGCATTTTAAAAAAGAAATTAGAAAGCAACTTGATAGGGCCAGAGAGATGACTTTGCAGTAAAGAACGTTTGCTATTTTTCTTTTTTTTAAAAAAATATTTATTTATTTATTTATTTATTTATTTATTTATTTATTATGTATACAATATTCTGTCTGTATGCCTGAAGGCCAGAAGAGGGCGCCAGACCTCTTTACAGATGGTTGTGAGCCACCATGTGGTTGCTGGGAATTGAACTCAGGACCTTTGGAAGAGCAGGCAATGCTCTTAACCACTGAGCCATCTCTCCAGCCCCCTTGCTATTTTTCAAGAGGACCCAAGTTAAGTTCCTACACCCACTTCAGTAATTCCCATTCCAGGGGCTCCAATGCTCTCTTCTGGCTTCTGAGGGCACCAGCATGTACAAGGCATACATGTATGTGCATGAACACACACACATACACAATTAAAGATAAAAATAAATCTTTAAGGAAAAAGAAAAAGCGAAGCCATGATGTGGGATGTCTTTCCATGTGCTGTGAATATGTGCTGCTTTTATTGGTTGATGAATAAAGCTGCTTTGGCCTATGACAGGGCAGAATAATGATAAGCAGGAAATCCAAGCAGAGACAGGGAGAAAGAAGGCAGAGTCGGAGAGGTGCCAGCAGCCACCAGAGGAGTAAGAAGCCAGTGTATTGCCAGTCACTGGCATGTGGTGATATTCAGATTATTAGAAATGGGTTAATTTATATTATAATGAGTTCATTTGTAGTGGCTTAGGGCTAGCCACTAAGAAGCCTGAGCCATCGGTTAACAGAATATAACTAATATTAAACCTCCAAATGATTATTTCAAAAGTGGCTGTGGGGACTGGTGGGTGGGAGAGAAACCGTTTCAGCCTTCAAGTCTTAGGGATAGGTCTGGGACAGGTAATAAAGATAAGAAAAGCAGAAAAGGGAAAAGCCACCTTATTTCGTGGCTATAGAGAACAATCTTATAAAATTTCTTGCAAGCGGCTACTTGCAGAGCCTTGGGTCTTCTCACTGGCTCTCTGAAGCTCCAGTCCCACCCTCTCTCACCACGTGGCTGCTTAGCGACCTCCACTGTGAAAAAGCACAGCTTTCTCTCTTCATCATCTCTCTATACCTGGACACTTCTGAGATTTACACTTTGCCTGCCCTGTTGTTTTTCTTTCAAATGCTCAATAAAATCGCCTTCCAGTCTCCTCCCTAGTCTAACCCACAAAAGGGAGCCTTGATGTCTCTGGAAAGAGTGCCAGCCAAGGGAGGGCTGTACACTGTGGCCCAGGTCGCTGCAGGGATCAGTGAGGTGAGGTACAGCTGTCTAGAGAAGTGTCCCTGAGAGGTCCCGGCAGAGATGCTTTCAGAGAAGACTGGCAACTCCCACGTTACCCCATCCTGAGAAAACACCTCTGGGTGATCCTCTAAGAAGGCAGGGTGACATGACTGAGTCTGTGTTTCAGCAGAATACTCCCACCCTAGCCATCGGAGTCAGGGATGGGAGGAAATAATGGGAGATGAGAGAAGCAAACAGAAAAACAGGGAAGGGGGAAGGAGGAAGCAAAGGTGAAGAGAAGATTACAAAATATAAGTGAGGCCCCATTTTCCAGCTCCACAGCAGCGCGATATCACTACGATCTCCTTCGCCTGCACTTTGTTCATGTTGAGCCTTTTAGGATTCCCTCAGGAAAGAATCATTCGGGTTTCAATACTCCTAATAGAAAATTCTCTCACTTTCCCCCACTCTCCAGCTAGAAACACCCTTTAGGACTGGTTTATCTCTGTCGCCTGCATCACGTCAGGCCAAAAACAGGGAAATGAGGACGCCTGCGGTCTCCAAAAGACGACTTCTGGGTCCTCCGCCTGAGAAGACCATTCAGCGTTCCAGGTGGGGTTCATGGGTACCTGAGCACACCGGGACGCCTGAGGCAGGGAGCGGATTGACCCACTCAGTGCCTCCACCTGGAAATGAGGCGGGAGGAGGCCACTACAGCTGAACTGGTGAGTCGTAGCTTTGCTCGCGGCTTGGCATCGCCTTAGTAACTACTACTTCCGGTCCCTACCGGAAACCTAAAAAGCCGAGCTTCCGAAGGTGTAAGTCCGCCCCCGTGTGGGCGGAGAGACCCGGTTCCGCCCACTCCACGGCTGCCCTGTCCCCGGCTGTCCCCTGGGACCCGCGGCGCCCCAGAGGACCCACGAGTGATCCGGGTGCGACGCGTGGCCGTGGGTGGGAGCCATGGACGCTTTCATCCGCTTAACCAACCAGAGCCAGGGCCGGGACCGACTTTTCAGGTGAGTCTGGTGCCGTCGGCCTCCACCCCTGTCCGGTCCGGACCCAAGATTTCCTCCTCTCCTGGGCTCGGAGAAGGAGATAACAGCCCTGTAAATCGAGGCACGAGGACGCGGCCAGCTCCCACTTGAGGGAGTTGGGACCCGAGTCCCTCCTCCGAAATCCAATGGGGCTGTGCGCGCCCGCCACCTCCGTGACAGCAGCCTATGACAGCAGCTTATCTCCTGACTTGTCCCCAGAGAGGGAAACTGAGTCCCCAACGCGCAACATCTTTCCTAGAGATTTCTTTTCGAGAGAAACTTTGGGTTTCTTTTGTACCTAAGGAAGCAGAACCCCTGCGGCTTGGAGCGCCAGATGAAGTACTCATGGAAAGACAGTTGTATCTTCTTTATCTTCCACTTGGGCTCAGCCTGTGTCTTGGAGACAGAGAGTTAAGAAGCTTTGTAAACTGTAAGAAGTACAGTGGAAAAAAACGTTTGGTCTGTACTTCCAAAGTACATGGTGTGGTTTTGAAAGCACTCATGAGTGTTTGAAACTAATCCCCCTTCATTTTTGTTTTAAAAGAGAAATTTGTCTGAGTGGTGCTCAATAACCATTTAAAAGAAAAGGAAAGGAAAAAAAATAGTTTTATTTAACAGCCCTTTCCAGGTGTTTGTGTTCAACTTCTAATGTACACTAAACGTATAAGAAAAACCCTAATAGGGGGCTGGAGAGATGGCTCAGTGGTTAAGAGCATTGCCTGCTCTTTCAAAGGTCCTGAGTTCAATTCCCAGCAACCACATGGTGGCTCACAACCATCTGTAAAGAGGTCTGGCGCCCTCTTCTGGCCTTCAGGCATACAGACAGAATATTGT